TTTTTTTTCTTTTTTTTATGAGTAGAATCTCAAAGTACACTGTTCTCTAATCCTACCAGCAATGAAGGAGTGTTTCTGTTGCTCCACCTATTGGTATTTTAATTAGATTAGTATTAAATTTATAGATTAGGAGTAATTGGACTTTCCACTGTATTTATTGGTATTATCCAAGAATAGGGTAGATTTTCCAATTCATAAAATCTTCATTATATTGCAAGTAGCATTTTTTTTTTTTTTGAGAAGGAGTCTCGCTTTGTTGCCCAGCCTGGAATGTAGTGACGTGATCTTGGCTCACTGCAACCTCCACTCCCAGGTTCAAGCAACTCTCCTGCCTCAGCCTCCCGAGTAGCACACCATTAGGTGTGCACTTCCATGCCCGACTAATTTTTTTGTATTTTTGGTAGAGATGGGTTTTTGCCATGTTGGCCAGCCTGGTCTTGAATTCCTGATCTCAGATGATCCACTCACCTCGGCCTCCCAAAGTGCTGAGATTACAGGCATGAGCCACCTAACCTGGTCCCAAGTAGTATTTAAAGTTTTCTCTAAGCTGTGTTGGGAAATAATTCTCCAGGGGCTTTCCTGTTTCTGCATGTCTTGTGTTTTTCTGCCTTTGTTCTAGACTATCTTTTCAAGGATGTATTACAGCAAACAGACTTAACAGATAGAGTTAGTGGCAAAGGGCAGGCATGTTTAAAGTCTAGTATAAAATATTCAGATTTCCTGAGCTCAGGCCTCTCAACCTACAGTGCAGATCACTGCAGGCTCAAGTGTCACCTGGCCCTCTTTTGCCCTGGCCTGCATAAACTAGAGCTCAGGAAATTATCACAGAAAATGCTAATAGTCTGACTATTGCAATTACTGTAACAAAATCTTTTGTTTCTGAGTAAGGAGTCTTACATCTCTGCTACTGTCCATGAAACTGTGGCAGACTAAACTTTTAGCTGGCAAGTAGGAAAAGATGATTTTTACTCAGAGGAAAGAAAACATGTTGTCTAGTAGAAAAAAATATGTTGGCCGGGCGCCGTGGCTCAGGCCTGTAATCCTAGCACTTTGGGAGGCCGAGGTGGGTGGATCACCTGAGGTCAGGAGTTCAAGACCAGCCTGACTATCATGGTGAAACCCCATCTTTTTCATTTTTGAAAGAAGTATTTTAAATTAAAAAAAAAAAAAGTTGTTGTTTCCATATAATGGAACTATTCTTATTTTAAAAGTCTATTTTTAGACGTGTGATATTATCTATAATAGTGGTATTATCTATAATTACTGTAATTAGTACAGTGATATTATCTGCAAGAGCAATTGAGGATGTTACAAGTTTTGTGAACTCTGACTATGACTCTTAAGCCAAGATTCTAACCCTGTGGCTGATTTTTAGTTTTACGATAGTAGTTTCAGTCTCCAAGCTAGGAAGGGGCTACTGTCATCTTTGTTTTAAAGTTGAGCTGTAGGCTGGGTGCCATGGCTCACACCTTTAATCCCACCACTTTGGGAGGCTGAGGTGGGCGGATCACCTGAGGTCAGGAGTTTAAGACCAGCCTGGCCAACATAGCAAAACCCCGTCGCTGCTAAAAATACAAAAATTAGCTAGGTGTGGTGGAAAACTGCTTGAACCTGGGAGGGGAAGGCAGAGGTTGCAGTGAGCCAAGATTTCGCCACTGCACTCCAGCCTGGGCAACAGAGTGAGACTCAATCAATCAATCAATCAGAAAGAATTATGGCAGGGGCTTGAACTTTGGTAAAGAATAGGTACAGTTAAACAATGACCTATCATTTCTTAGCATTGTTTCTCATAAGTTGTTTGCTGCTCCGGAGTCACATAACTGGGGTGTCATGAGATTTTTAACTTCTCCAACTATTCCTATAGATAATATCACTATTGTGAAATAAAGAACTGGTCTTTGAGATATTTTTCAGATTTAGCAGACCAAGAGATGCTGCTGATTCTGAGACCCCGTCCCGGGAACTGAGGCAATTACACAAAGACCCTTTAGATACCCTTGTGATTTCATCTCTAGACAATCAATTGTTTCAGTGCCTGAGCTCCCTGCTTAGCGGAGTACCCTGAAAAACTCTAGCCTCCAAAATCTTGGGGAGGCATATTTGGGAAATACCTCCTATCCTTTGGTGTGGCTAGCCCTGCAGTTATGAAACTTTATCTTTGCTGCGATACCTGCTGTCCTCAGGGCGTTGATTTTTCTGGGCAGAAAGAACCCATCAAGTGTGACAGTGCTGGAATTACAGGCATGAGTCACTGTGCCTAGCTTGTATGATGCATTTTAACTATGTACAAGATAATAGCCAAATACTAATGAAAATGGCACAAGGTATAAGTGGCTTAAAAGAATTTAAAAGACAATGGAAAATATTTAAAATTGCATCAAAGCTTCCCATTTAAAGAGCAGTAGATGGGTGAGAATGTAAATTAGGATAGCCATTAAGTTATATGCAGATTCCTCCAAAAACTTAAGAGTTACCAAATGATCCAGCAATCTCACTTCTGAGTATTTACCCAAAAGATTTGAAATCGATTTGTCTGCACTCCCATAGCCATTGTATTGCTGGGTACGGTGGCTCATGTTTGTAATCCAAACACTTCAGGAGGCCCAGGCAGGCGGATTGCTTGAGCCCAGGTGTTTGAGACCAGCCTGGGCAACATTGAAAAACTCACACTCTACAAAAAATACAAAAATTATCCCAGCACAGTGGCATACGCCTGTAGTCCCAGCTACTTGGGAGGCTGAGGTGGGAGAATGGCTTGAAGCCGAGAGGTGGCGGTTGCAGTGAGCTGAGATTTCACCACTGTGCTCCCGCCTGGATAAGAGAGAGACTCTGTGAAACAAACAAACAAACAAAAACCCACAGACACACAAAGAGAAACAAAAATGAAAAGAAAACCTGTTCGTTTACATATTCACATTAGCCAATTGATGGGTTCAAACTAACTGTCCCATCGATAGATAAATGGATAAAGAACATTTGGAGGTATACACAATGGAATGCTATCTGGACTTTAATAGAAGGGAAATCTGTTATTTGTGACAACATGGATAGAGTTAGAGAACCTTATGCTATGTGAAGTGAGCCAGGCACAGAAAAAAAAATACCACTTGTTGTCACTTATATAAGGAACGTAAAACAATCAAACTCAAAGAAGCAGAGAGGAAGGTAGGAAGGAAGGAAGGAGGAAAGGATGGAAGGAAGGAAGGAGAAAAGGATGGAAGGAAGGAAGGAAGGAGAAGGGAAGGGGAAAGGAAGGAAGGGAGAAAGGAAAAGACTATATAGCTCTTTGGGAGAATAAGACGGTACTATAAGTATGACCATGGAAATATTTTTAAAGCTGTAATTTCAAGGAAAAAAAATACAGACTGTGCTAAATGGTACTGTTTATGTAAAAGGGGGACTACATATATGTGTTTATCTATGTTCATAAGAAATATCTATGGAAGGAATGAAAACAGAACGAGTTATTGTAATTGACTTTAAGAAGTGGTGGGGTGGTCCAAGAGTCAGGGATAAAAGACTCACCTATGTCTTTTTGCTATGTGCATTTTTATTTGATTTTAAATTATTTGATTTGCATTTATTATTTGATTATTTTACTTTAAGATTTCAGATTTTTTCAAGCTTTGGGACATTTGCATTTTCCTCGTGGTTGAGCATCTCTAATCCCAAAATCCCAGATCCCAAAATGCTCCAATGAGCATCTCCTTTGAGCGTCATTTTTATTTTTATTTTATTTTATTTTGAGCGCCATTTCAGCATTCAAAAAGTTTCAGATTTTGAAACGTTTACTGAGTGCCTTCCACATGCCAGGCACCAGACTAGCGCGGGGAAACGGGTAAGTACTGATGAGGGTCCCAGCCCCCAGTGATAGGATTTCAGGGGGGGAGATAAAGGATTGCCCAGAAGGGTGGTGAGTGGAGTAGCTGATATAAGTAACAGGGTGCGATGAAATACATAGGAGGGCTGCTGGTCACATATGGGGCGGGTGCCGAGGGCCCTTCATTAAGGGACTGCTTCCTCGAGGGGTGACACCCAAGCGGCGTCCTGACAACCTGAGTCGAGTCAGAAGTAACCATGAGAGGAGGAGGTGGAAGGAATCCACGTCCCAAGAGACAGGCAACTTTCCCTGCACAGCACAGGCCACGGTCTGTGCACAGAAGCCACAGGAGTCGCAGGCACAGGGGCTGGGGAGGATCCTTGCTGGGCCCTCGCCATCCACGCGCCGCCTCCCTCTGCCAGGTGTCTGCTGTCAGCCAGAGGAACTCCAGTCCCTGCTCTGGGAAGCCTCTCCAGGCCTTCCGCTTCCCCGACTCCGAACGGGTCCCTGATCCAGCAGGTACGAGGCTGGTCTCCCGGCCAGCTGTGGACGAACCAAAGGCCCAGCGCAGCCTGGGCTCCTCTAGTGATGATGCCCTGGGACCTTGTCTTTCTCCAGGAAAACGTGGACCACTGTCCGCCTTCTACAGACCCCTTCTACAGACCCCTCTCGCCCTCGCCCCCAATCTATTTCGGTTTTATCTTTTCGCTCAGTTGATACAAACAAGGAAGCCCCGGCCGCACGCGCGGAGGCGGCCTCAGGGGCGGAGTCAACAGCGGAGGCCACGCCATCTGATAAAGGGCGGGGCATGCAAATTTGAAATGCAAGCCCGGGAACGACAGAACAATCTCGGGTGTAAAATTTCCTTTTTTAAACGTGGAGAATAAGAAATCAGGCCGAGTGTGTAATGGCATCAATAGTGGTGTGGAAGAGACCAAGGTAATGAGGGGAATGAGGCAAAGAGAAAGGCTGGAGCTCTCACCGCGACTTGAATGTGGATGAGAGTGGGACGGTGACTGCGGGGGCGATTGCGACAGCATCGCTTCTCGGCCTTTTGGCTAAGATCAAGTGTAGTATCTGTTCTTATCAGTTTAATATCTGATACGTCCTCTATCCGAGGACAATGTATTAAATGCATTTTTGGAGTTAGGAAATGGAATAGGAGCTTGCTCCATCCACTCCACGCATCGACCTGGTATTGCAGTACTTCCAGGAACGGTGCACCCCCTCGGGGGATACAATTGGTTTACAAAGTTAGAGTTAACTTTACTGTGGCGTAGCTTGTTCGTACCGTCAGACAGATCAGTTCTCTCTGATCAGTTTTTGTTTTTTTTTGTTGTTGTTTTGTTTTGTTTTGTTTAGAGACGGGGTTTCGCTCTTGGTACTCAGGTTGGAGTGCAATGGCGCCATCTCGGCTCACCGCAACCTCCTCCTTCCGGGTTCAGGCAATTCTCCTGCCTCAGCCTCCTGAGTAGCTGGGATTACAGGCACGCGTCACCATGCCCAGCTAATTTTTTGTATTTTTAGTAGAGACGGGGTTTCACCGTGTTGACCAGGATGGCCTCGATTACTTGACCTTGTGATCCACCCGCCTCGGCCTCCCACAGTGCTGGGATTACAGGCTTGAGCCACCGCGCCCGGCCTGATCAGTTCTTTTATTTTTTCGAAAGTACTACAAAGCTTTTTGTTTTTTGATGGTTATTGTAAGTTTTGGCCGTTTGGAAGTACTTAATTTCAGCTTGGTCGTAGAGTGATGGTGTATTTTTAGAGGAATGCGGTGTACTACTTAGCCACCGTGGACTTGGATGTTTTGCCTTTTTTTTTTTTTTTTTTTGTTTTTATGTGGGATATATGTGAGGAATCTGCAGGTTTGTTGCATGGGTCTGCATGTGCCATGGTAGTTTGCTGCACCTATCAACCAGTCATGTAGCTTCCAGGCTCTGCAAGCAGTGGGTATTCGTCCTAATGCGCGCGCTCTCTTCCTTTGCCCCCCACTTCCCGTCTGGCCTCGGTGTGTGATGTTCCCCTTCCTGTGTCCACGTGTTCTCATTGTTCAATTCACACTGTGGGTGAGAATATGCAGTGTTTGGTTTTCTGTTCCTGTGCCGCTTTGCTGGGAATGATGGCTTCCAGTTTCATCCATGTTCCTGCAGAAAACGAACTCATTCTTTTTTAGGCTGCATGGTCATTCCATGGTGTTATATGTGCCACATTTTCTTTGTCCAGCCTATCATTGATGGGCATTCGAATTGGTTCAAAGTCTTTGCTATTCTAAATAGTACCTCAATAAACATAGGTGTCTACGTGTAAAAAAAAATCAGATTTTGAAGCATTTTAGATTTCAGAATAGGCGTAATAAACTCTCATTGATACATGGACAAGGTGGGTGAAATTTGGAAACATTGTGCCAAGTGAAAGAAGCCAGACACTAAAAGTTACATATTACATAATTCAATTTATATGAAATGTCTAGAATAGGCAAATCTGTAGAAACAGAAGGTAAATTAGTGTTTGCTGGCGGCTAGGGTTGGGGAAGAGAACGGAGAGTGATCACTGACGTGTATGGGATTTCTTTTGGAATAATGGCCGTGACCTGAGGGAGTGGCAGGATGGGAAGCCTGGGTTGTGAAACTGCAAGGCACACCCATGACCACAGTGCACGTGCTGCAGCCTGTGGTGTGCAGAAGGACGCAGAGGCAGGAGGAGCTGAGGCCGGTGGGTATGGAGAGCTCATGGGGGAGCCCGAATTTAGTCTTAAAAAATTTGAAATGATTCTGCAGACAATGGAACACATTGGCTTTCCTGGAGGAGAGAAGTGTCCTACGTTTTGACCTCCCATCTGTGTGGACTGTACACAGAGAAGGAGAAACGCTAGAGTTGTATAGACATAGGTAAACCACACAGGGGCCTTCGCGAGAGGAAACACTGCATAATACTGGAAACTTCCCTCTGCCTTTTCTGTCAGACGAAAACTCTGGAAAGAGCCATCCACCTTCATATGAAGGAATGAACCAGTGCAGCCCACGGAGCCACAATCTCAGCAAAGGCTGAGACTCACCCCCACCTGCTTGCCGATGTTGGATCTTGCACCTTCCATTCCAGATGTTTCACTGCCTGTAAGGGATATGTTCCCACTCCATCCTGCTTAACTCTATTGACCTCTGCTGGTCACCTGCATGTGTGCGCAGCGTTGAGAATAGTGTCTGATCCATAGCCAGTGCCACCTAAGGGATTGCTGTGGTCTGGCTATAATCTGGATCCCCTGCTCCTCCCATGTGAGCTGTGTGTGAAAGCATCAGCCCCCAAAGCAGTCTGCTGTGTTCCAGCAAGTTCCCAGCCTGGGCCAAGAATTCCAACTTGACAAGCCAATCTGGGATCGGGGTCCCCTCAGGGCTGGTTTGTCTTACTTTATAGGTTATCTTGACCAGTGCAGTGGCTCACGCCTGTAATCCCAGCACTTTGGGAGGCTGAGGCGGGCAGATCAGCTGAGGTCAGGAGTTCGAGACCAGCCTGGCCAACATGGTGAAGCCCTATCTCTACTAAAAGACACACACACACACACACACACACACACACACACACACACACACACAAAGATTAGCTGGGTGTGGTGGTGCGGCTGGTATTCCCAGCTACTACGGAGGCTGAGGCAGAAGAATTGCTTGAACCTGGGAGGTGGAGGTAGCAGTGAGCCAAGATTGCACCACTGAACTCCAGTCTGGGTGAGAGGGTGAGACTCCATCCTGGGGGGGGGGAAAAAAAAAAAAAGGCTTCATCTCAGAAAAAAAAGTCTATTTGGTCATAGAATACCATTCTTATAAAACAAAAATTCACCATATGTTATGGATTTCAGGCTCATCACATTGATAAGATAAAGGTACCAGTTTGGTGGGTATATTCAAGGAGTCAGTGCAGTCAACCTCCATGGCAATATTAAGCAAAGTACATGGTGACTAATACTGTAGGAGCACTGTGGTCATCGTAGCCTAATTAGAGAAGTAAGAGAGTTCTGTATTTGTGGAGACCACGGCCATTGGCCCCCTAAAGGTTGACTGATAAATCACTGGCATGAGACAGGTCAAATAATAAGAGAAAAGGCATACAAATTTATTTAACCTGTATACACAGGAGCCTTCAGGATGAAGACTTAACTTTCCAATGAGTTACAGAAACTCATATACCATTTTGAGATAACAGAAAGAATGGGGACCTGGATTCTAGTAAAACAGGTTACAGGAGGGAAAACGAGGGCAATAAAAAATGATTGGTAGGGAGAATGATTGGATGAGGAACAAAGATTAACTTGTAAATAGTTTTCTTTGGAATGTAAATAATTCTTGGGGTCATTACACTGTCATTATATTCCTGCCATAATAGTCACTGTACTCGTGAAAAGGTCTGCTCAGGTGTGGTCACATCCTGGCCTCCCTTTCAGGAATAGATGATGCAATAACAGGGAGGAAAATAAAAAAAAAGTTATTCTCTTTGATGGGTCTGAATCTTAAGCAGATAAAAGGAACTTCAGCTTCTTTGAGAGAGACAGCGGAGAGGGGAAGGTCAAAGAGACCTTGAGGCTTCTTAAATTCAGCATATTTTACCATATTTTGGGGGTATTCGTTTCTGAGCTCATATATATAATTTTTTTTAATTAAAAATATAGACAGAATCTCACTGATGTGGTTTGGCTATGTCCCCATTCAAATCTCAACTTCAGTTGATCTTCCAGAATTCCCACATGTTGTGGGAGGGACCCAGGGGGAGGTAATTGAATCATGGGGACCGGTCTTTCCTGTGCTATTCTCATGACAAATAATGAATAAGTTTCAGATATCTGACGGGTTTATCAGGGGTTTCCACTTTTGCTTCTTCTTCCGTTTCTCTTGCTGCCCCTATATAAGAAGTGCCTTTCACCCTCTGCTATGATTCTGAGGCCTGCCCAGCCTTGTGGAACTGTAAGTCCAATTAAACCTTTATTTCTTCCCAGTCTGGGGTATGTCTTTATCAACAATGTGAAAACAAATACACTCCCTGTGTTTCCCAAGCTGTATTGCAGTGATATAATCATAACTCAAGACATGGTGGTGGCGGGTACCTGTAATCCCAGCTACCTGGGAGGCTGAGGCAGGAGAATTGCTTGAATCCAGGAGGAAGAGGTTGCAGGGAGCAGAAATCGCCCCATTGCACTCCATTGAATGCCCACCAGCCTAGTGAGGTGGGAATTCAGAGTTAGATTTGACCCGATTTCTTTCTCATCCATTTTTTGAGTTGTAATTCATATATTATAAAATTCATTCTTTTATTATTATTGTTTTTAAAGACAGGCTCACTCTGTTTACCAGGCTGGAGTGCACCGGCATGAGTGTGGCTCACTGTAGTGTTGACCTCCTGGGCTCAAGCTATTCTCCCACCTCACCTCCCAAGTACCTGGGACTACAGGTGTAAGCCCCCTCACCCAGCTAATTTATTTTCATTTTTGATAGAGATGAGGTCTCTCCATGGTGCCAGGCTGGGCTTGAACTCCTGATCTCAAGCAGTCCTCCCACCCAGCTTCTCAAAGTGCTGGCATTACAACTGTGAGCCACCACACCTGGCCAAAATTCATGCTTTTAAAGTATACGGTTTGGTAGTTTTTCATTCCATGTGAACACAGAATTGTGCAACCATTAACACTATTAAATTCTAGAACATGTTCATTATTCCAAAAGAAATCCCATACACATCAGTAATCACTCTCCATTCTTCTCTTTCCCACACCCAGCCCCTGGGAAACACTAATTTACCTTCTGTTTCTATAGATTTGCCTCTTCTAGACATTTCATATAGATTGAATTATGTAATATGTATCCTTAATGTCTGGCTTCTTTCACTTGGCATAATGTTTCCAACATTCATCCACCTTGTAGCATGTATCAGTGCAAGTTTATTATGCCTAATCTGAAATCTAAAATGCTTCAAAATGTGAACTTTATTTTTCTTTTACACATGGACACGTATGTTTATTGCAGCACGATTTAGAATAGCAAAGACTTTGAACCAATTTGAATGCCCATCAATGATAGGCTGGACAAAGAAAATGTGGCACGTATATGCCATGGAATGACTATGCAGCCATAAAAAAGAATGAGTTCATGTCTTTTTCAGGAACATGGATGAAGCTGGAAACCATCATTCCCAGCAAAGCGCACAGGAACAGAAAACCAAAAACCGCGGGTTCTTACCCACAATATGAGTTGAATAATGAGAACATGGACACAGGGAGGGGAACATAACACACTGGGTCCAGACGCGGGTTGGAGGGCAAGGGGAGAGAGAGCATTAGGACAAATACCCAATGCATGTGGGGCTTCCAACCTAGATGACTGGTTGATAGGTGCAGCAAAGCACCATAACACATGCACACCCATGCAACAAACTTGCATGTTCCACACATGTATCCCAGAATTTACATTAAAAAAAAGAGGACACACGAATGTTCATTGCAGCACTGTTTACAATAGCAGAGACCTAGAATCAACCCAATTGCCCATCGATGATAGACTGGAAAGGGAAAATGTGGTACATATACACCACGAAATATGCAGCCATCAAAAACGATGAGTTCGTGTCATTTGTAGGGACATGAATGGACCTGGAAACCATCATTCTCAGCAAACTGACACAAGAACAGAAAATCAAACACCACATGTTCTCACTCATAGGGGGCGTTGAACAATGAGAACACATGGACACAGGGAAGGGAGCATCACACACTGGGGTCTGTAGGGGGAAATAGGGGAGGGACAGCAGGGGGTTAGGGAGTTGGGGAGAGATAGCATGCAGAGAAATGCCAGATATAGGTGATGGGGAGGAAGGCAGCAAACCACACTGCCATGTGTGTACCTATGCAACAATCGTGCATGTTATTCACATGCACCCCAAAACCTAAAATGCAATAAGAATAAAAAAAAAGAGAAAGAAAATGCAATAAAAATTTAAAAAGGAAGAAAATGCAATAAAAATAAAAAAAGAGGAAGACGTTCAGGTCCCGGCTGGGCAACTGGTGCACCCCATTCCTTTAAGTAACTACAATCATTCATTACCCAGTTGAGATCCAAGAAAATCTAAAAACATTGAACATGCTCTGTTGGCACATAGCTATAGTTACAGTGAAAATCGAAGTATTGGGAAATCTACTGTATGCCACCAGCAGACCAAACCATTACATCACCTTCAAAAAATAAGTCGGACAGCTACTCCACAATACTTTGCACTCACACTTTACAGATTGTACTCCGCGAGGGGATCCACCGTTTTTGTAAATACCGCACGGATTGGATAGGGCAAACTCCTACTCAGTCTTTCAACTCCATAGGTGCATTTCATATAATTCTTGGGGATAGAGCATATATCAGGTACCAAGCAAATAAAAAGACACTTCATGCTTAACCTCAGCCAAAAGGCGGCGAAGCGATGCTGTCATTATTGTCCCCACAGTCACCGTCCCATTCTTTTCCACATTCAAGGAGCGGTGAGAGCTCCAGCCTCGCTCCCGCCTCTTTCCCAGGGTCTCTTCACACCGCTATGGATGCCATTACACACTCGCGCTGATTTCTTATTCTCCACGTTTGAAAAGGGGAATCTTACACTCGGGATTGTTCCGGCCTTCCCGGGCTTTCATTTCAAATTTGCATGCCCCGCCCTTTCCCGGGGCGTGGCCTCCGCGGTTGACTCCGCCCCCGGGGCCCGCTTCCGCTTGGGGAGCCGGGGCTCTGCTGAGGGCGACTGCCTGGTTTGTATCAACACAGCGAAAACACAACCGAAAGACACCTGGCGGGGTGGGGACGAGGGGCAGAGGGGGCTGTAGAAGATACCTGTGGCGGAGAGGGGTCCACGTTTTCCTGGAGAAAGGAAAGGTCCCAGGGCCTCATCGCTAGAGGAGCCGAGGCCAAGCTGGGCCTTTAGTTCGTCAACAGCTGGCGGGGAGACCAGCCTCGTACCTGTTAGACCAGGGACCCGTTCCGAGTCAGGGAAGCAGAAGGCCTGGAGGGGCTTCCCAGAGCAGGGACTGGAGTTCCTCCCCCAGGCAGGAACTAGAGACGGGTTTCAGCATGTTGGCCAAGCTGATCTCCAACTCCTGACCTCAGGTGATCCACCCGCCTCGGCCTCCCAAAGTGCTGGTTTGATAAAGGACGGCAGGTCAGCATTTCTTGTACCCTTGACTATGTGGACTAAGAGTTAAAACCTATTACAGCGATTATCTATTCCCACAGCACCCTTTTCGCAACACACTGTAAAATTGTTGGCTCAATATTGGTCTTTCCACTTAGACTATGAGCTACATTGACCTGTTTTCCTCCTTACAACTGCTTTTCCAGACCCTTGGACAAAGTAGACGCGCAATATTTATTGAAATGAATGGAAAGAAGTAAACTAATGAGTGATTGAATGAATGAATGCCTGTTAGTAAGGACATTCAGGAGAAGGAAGCTCTGTTCCTTTTTGCTCTGTGTCCCCTGAGTAGTAACCTCTCTGCAGTCCCACCTGCCTATCCAGCAGCAGCAGGGCCGGTCTCTTGCTCTCTCAGAACCCAGGAGGCTCAGCCGGGCATGTGTGCAGGGTTTTTCCTGGAACTGGGGGCCCCTTGTCTGTGTTTTGAAATTACCTGATACTTGGCTAGCTGATGCCTGGGTCGCAGGCTGCATAACTCAAATTTGTTTATGCTTCCTCTGATTTTCCCATTCTTCTAAACACAGTTTAAATTCACCGGCTCCAGGGGACTTCCCGAAACCACTCCAGACCGTAGGAAGCATCTCTTCTCTCTTTCTCCTTCTCTCTATCAAACAGTAAATGCACATAGTAAAAAGACAGGTGAATGTTTTATCCCTGACTCTTGGACCACCCCACCTCTTCTTAAAGTCAATCGCAATAACTGGTTCTTTTTTCATTCCTTGTGTAGCTATTTCTTTCTTTCTTCTTCTTTTTTTTTTTTAATTTTATTTAGGCTCCAGTCCAATATGAAGAATATCCTCCTTAGAGATTTGGGCAAACATACATGGAGGATGCCATGTGAAGGTAAGGACAGATGGAGTGATACTGCAAGCTAAGGAACCTCAGATGTCCATTGTGTAGCTATTTCTAATGCATATAGTTAAGCACATACGTGTAGCCGCCCATTTTACATAAATGGTACCATCTTGCACAATCTGTATTTTTTTTCCTTTAAATTACAGCTTTAAAATCTTTCCGTGGCCATACTTATAATACCACCTTATTCTTTCAAGGAGCAATATAGTCTCCCTCCCCTCCCCTCCCCTCCCCTCCCCTTCTTTTCCCTTCCCTTCCCCTCTCTCTCCCTCCCTCCTTCCCTTCCCCCTCTCTCCCTCCCTCCTGCCCTGCCCTGCCCTGCCCTTCTTCCCTGCTTCCCTTCCCTTCTTCCCTTCCCTTCTTCCCCTCCCCTCCCCTCCCCTCCTGCTCCCCCTCCCCTTCCCTTCCCTTTTTGCTTACAGGTTGGAGTGTAGTCTCAGCTCACTGCAACCTCTGCCTCCTGAGTTCAGACCATTCTCCTGCCTTAAGCTCTCAAGTAGTGAGTGGGACTACAGGTATGTGCCACTATGGCCCTCTAATTTTTGTATTTTTGGTAGAGACGGGGTTTCACCATGTTGGTCAGGTTGGTCTTGAACTCCTCACCTTGAATGATCTGCTAGCTTCGGCCTCCCAGTGTATTGGGATTACAGGCATAAGCCACTGCACCCGGCCTAAGAGCTGTAAAACATTTCATTAGATGGTTGTATCACAGTTAATATAACAATTTCCAGTCTTTTTTTAATTACAAAAGATGCTTTAATTAGTATTCTTGTACATATATGTTGAGAGAGGAGACCATCTCTCTCACTTGCCTATCCTTTGTTAGAAAACGGGGGAGGGGAGATACAATAGCACAAAATTAAAGTCTGTAATCAGGCAAGATGCTGACCCACCAGCCCAACCACAGTGGGGCCCAAGGACTGAGAAATAACCCCTCTCTCTGTAACCAGTGTCTGTGTTATCTGCCAGCCTTGAAAGTGTTGCAGATGTTTTTCTTTTTCTTTTTTTTTTTTTTTTTGAGACGGAGTTTCCTTTTTTTTTTTTTTTTTTTTTTTTTGTGGGGGGTTTTTTGTTTTACTAAACCTCCGTCTCCTGGGTTCAGGCAATTCTCCTGCCTCAGCCTCCTGAGTAGCTGGGA